ACACACAAACAACCTCTCGTCAATATGCGTTTTTCGCATTACATTGCTGCAAAAAACGCATAAAAATAAATGGCCAGCGTACCGACTGCCGGTGCGAAGACGCGTTTTTTGCACAATGCCCCGCAGATTTTTGCCGCTAACGGTACTGTTTTTCCCGGCAGATGCTTCTAGCTAAAAGAATTGAGACTGGCCGCCAGGGCTTTCAGGAAACATCCCTTTAAAATTTCAGCTTTCTGGCTTTCCTGATTCCCAAATTAGAAGCCGGGAAACACCCTTTCGTGGACGGGAAACACCCCCTTAAAATTCCAGTCTTCTAGCTTCTCAAGTCCCCGATTTAGCAACTTACCCGCCAAAAACTTTGTCGGGCCTCTGTGGTGGAATCGCAAGGCAAGAGCGCCCATTTTGAAGATTGGGACCCGTGCATGCATGTAGATTAAGTTCCCAAAGTTTCATCACTATAGCTTGCTTAGTTCTCGAGATAAAAAGTCAGTATAGACACACACGCAGACAACCCTTTGTCAGTATGCATTTTTTGCATTGCACAGATGCAAAAAGATGCATAAAAACCAGGTTTTTACGCTAAATTCTTCAGATTTCAGCCGCTATTTCATTCAAACACGCGCGTAAACACAGCACAAAAAGATGATGTTTCATTGCGCAAGTAAGTGTATGCGCATGTACTACATGTTCAGAGAAATCAGCAGCAGGATTACAAAACAATAAGTTTTGAATATTTCCGTGGTCATCGATCGCACATAGTAACTAAAAGATTTACTTTTTTCCATGAACTCATACATGATGTCAAGTTCAAATTTTGGTTAATGTTATTCCAGAACGACAGAAAAAAAGTTTTAAGCGCGATTCAATTTTCAAGCATTGTTTTTCAATAAACGACGCAAAAAACAAACTGAATCATCTCTCAAGCTTCAATGCCCCTTAATTTCCCAGCTTAACTCTAAATTCCGGCTGATTTTATAAAATTTCAAAAAACTAACTTAACATTTCTGGACTTAGCTCATTATTCGACATTTGATTAGAAATCAACTATCTGCTATTGAATTTTTTCAGATACGTCAAAATTCGAGCATAATAAAGCACAGTGTGTTTGCCAGGAATTTTAATAAGCCTGGTAAATGTAGGAATTATCATTATAAAGTACCATCAACTCGTAATTCTGATTTTTCGCCAAGGAACCCGGCAACAGCGTATAAACGTATAACGCCATCTGTCCCTCAGTGGGCGTGGTTGGTTACTAATAAGAAAGGATATTTTAGATAATCGGTGTTGGGGCCCTGTGTTAGTAGTGTTATTGGATACTTCCTCGCACCAAAAACAGCCGTATCATATGCTTTGCTTTTAAGGTGCATGCCTTCAGTTAATCCCCAGCGCTTTTTCGAGTATCATGTCATCTCTTCAAAGCCGTCCTGTCATTTTCTTGGGTGTACCATAAACTAATGAGTCACATTTGCCAGCAGCCAGTGAGGCAAGTGATATCCCCTACTATACAGATTTTACTTTCACGCGTAGCGCAATAACGTTTCCGCGCAGCTCAACTGACGGAGAGACTTAGATACTCATAAAAATTTACATGCAGTAAAGAAAAATAAATGCGGAGAATTTTAGTAGGTGTTGGCTTTTATGTAGTAGACAGCTCTCTTTGCACACC